GGAAAATGGAAATTATTAACCAAAATAATATTCTTATAGAAGACTTAATATAAAGTGGACAAAAAGTAAAAACTTAACTAATTATTCATTCCGGGAAAAAACTCTAATTTTTATTCATATTATACAATTCAGTTTCTTAAGTATTAATTTATGTCTGGCTGCTTATTTYGTAATTAAGCTGTGTATTAATTATCAAGTCATATCATATAAGCTATTTGGTAGGTATCGTAACAAACCAGTWATACACACAGGATTATTTTGTTAAGAAGTTGTGCTAACAATAATTTTTCACAAATTACTATTAATATTGTATAACGGAGTGGTAACTTTCATGAAGAAAGATTAAATTTCTTATTTAAGGGGGAGAATAGTTTTAATCGCTTAACAATTTCCAATACAGTACAAGCCACAGATGTTTATTGTACATATTTGATTTCTAGATTTTATATACCTACACAAAATAATGCAATTAAAAATAATAAAAGATAAATTTCAATAATTATTTGTTACTATGAAAACAATATATCTCTGGAAAAAGCGTAATAAATATGTACCTACTTTAATTACTAGTTAATTGAACATTTTTCATAAAATCATAATTTTTACTTGTTTTTTTCTTCCGACAAACACTCAACWTTGTTTGTAACTCCAAAAATTCGAAATTTACAATTTTTCCACGTAATACTATGTTTTAATATAAATGCAATGATCAACGATAACCCTAAATACAATTTGAAAACAGTTTTTTTACTTCAACAAGTTGTCTACATTAATATTTAAGATAATTTACTTTAAAAATAAGTATACTTATTTAATATAYCGACCGCCATCGTTGTACAGCCACCACACATCTACAGTCCCATTATTTCGCTTCTTCGTCTCGAATGAAAATTCCTCGTTGTTTATTTTAACATAGCAATCATCCGACCTGAAAATATTTTCCTAGATTATATGTCAATCTTTCTATTATTAGATAAATCCTATTAATTTTAATAATGAACAACATTGGGATAATGAGATCGGCTAATGCCTGATACACCCGGGATATAAAATGTCAAAACTTATAATTAAACAAGTTATGAAAGCTCACTCTACGAGCGTGCTGAATTCCGGTTTCTTAACGAACAGACGGACATTACTGGGTATTTCAGCAACTCAACATATGTTTAGAGATTTAAAACTTTAATGAATAACACAATTTAAATAATATTTTAAGTTATTTATACTTTTGTTGATTTCCAATATTTTGACTTGATTGCGTTTCGCACGAAATATCGTCATTGTGATCTAAGTGATTAAAGTTACGAATTAACAAATTCTGAACATCATAACTCTCGGTTGATGACACACGAACGACGATTGTTGACATGTCATTCATATTTGCAACACTTATAAGGAATTATTCATTTCAACATAACATGTTAAATTAGTGGCGTTTTTACTGTAAAATATTTAAGATTATGCTTACTTGAAAATATTTAAATAAGTTTGAAGGTCTTGATACGGACAATTTAACCAATCGGACTTGTATCCAATCATTGTTATATTTGGTCTTAATTGTCCATGTCCACAGCTATATATCATATGAGTTGCTAAATCCAATTCTAAGTTATCAAGGACAACATATAGGGAATTGATTCTAGAACTCCTCAACCATTGATACCCTTTGTCAATGTATATTTTCTTTTGTTTCGGTGTTATTGATATCTTTAAATATATATATTCATAATGTTATTATAGTAGTTATATTATGTTACACATTTTATCATTTTTTGTTATATCTAACCTTTTCAACGCTGACACACATTTGAACACCGTTATTCTTTGTGATCAAATGAGCTAAGGATACTAACTTTTTCCTTGACTTAGGATTTCCAGAAAACACTATTAAATTAGGTAAATAGTTTTTAATATGGTATTTTATAGTATCGGCCTTGTACAAGCTTCTTATAATCGTTTTAATTTGTTGTATTTTCATAGAAGAATCGCGTTTCTTTACTTTAATTGAATATAATTTTTATTAGTGGAAGTATCGATTAATTTATTAGTTGGGCTTGTAATATAAGTAGGTACATTAACAAACCTTCATTTTTTATACGAGCAATTATGTATATAACACATACAGCAGAAGCAATAATTAATGACAGTTTTGTATTAATAAATATCATTAATGAAATACAGATAACAGCTGCAGCAAGACTTATCCATTTGTTATAAATCTAAAAACACAATYAATTAATATGTTATTGTTATAAAATATTAATGTCCGTAGTGAATTATAGCTATTTAAATCTACAATATACAATCATTTACGAAATATTTTCTGAGCATTTCAATTGTCCTCACCAGGCCAATCATGCTTATGTTACTTCAGATCTTAGACCTCATAGTTTACTTGATAATTCTAAAACTTTTTATTGTCATTATCAAATTCATATCTGGCATAAAATCTATTATACACTATTATAATCACTGCTGTATAAACAATAAACACCTAATACATTTAATATTGTCAGTGATCTGTCTTTATATCTCTGTTTATTCTGGATAGTTATAATCTGTAAATATTGAGTTATTTAATACTTCATTTAGAAATCTTAAAAATCTATCTTCTCTCTTCTCGTGGGCGTTTAGACCTTAAACACAAATATATTCCAAATATATTTGCTGCCATCTCTCTCTATAACTACATAGAAACTCTCTCTAGCGTCCGTTCGGTACTATACTGTTTCTCCTTTCTTTTATTGCCGTCTTCAACGTAAACGTAAGTATCTTATTACAACAGACTCTTTGTTAAAAATATAATATATATATTATATATATATATTTATATGAATGTAAAATGTTTTTATTATTTACTGGAGATTAGGTACCTTGTATGAAGGCCTCCAATACAATGGCTTAAAATGTGCATTATGAAATGTACACAAATTTAACATGACGTATGCGAATAAAAAACAAGTTGTCGAAAATGAGGCCATGAACCATATGTGTGAAGAATGCTTAACAAAACTACCTAAAAAAATAAGTGTTAAATAATTTTAGATGATTTCGAAAAAGAAATGTATAAAGGATTACATTTGTTTTGGTAATTGAAATAAACTGTATTAGTTTTTAAATTATTATCTTGATGAAAAAAGTTCATCTTACCAAAAGGTTTAAGTATTTGAACTTAAAATGTATTTTATACTAGGTAAGGTACATATGTAGGTAACCTAAAAGACCGAACCACATTAAATGTTGTATATTACAATTATATTTGAAACGTAATACGGAATTGTTATTCTAATATTGAGTTTTAACTTAACGAAGCTGAAAGATATAAATATATATTTTAAGGTTTACAATATTATACTATAAATATTATTTAGGAGTGCTAATGGGTGTATTGTTACCATAATATTCTATATAATAAGTATAATAAATATAAATAATTTTTCAAAATAATGTATTTAATATAACAGACAACAGTGTACACAGGTGTTTTGATATTTAACATATAGTCACAGAGATGTATATATACTGTTATTAGTTAGGGGATGACCTTGGTATAGTATTGTGGTGTCTTATGATTTTAAATCCAAATCATATATTCGTATTAAAAAAATATAATTTAGATTAGTATAAATAAAATATTATTATGTAAATAGTACGCAAACAATAGTACGGCCAGCGAAACTAGACGGATGACCGTTGCGCGCCAAGCGCCCAGGCTACTATTTTCATGTACGCCGGGAATTTAAACGTATTATTTATTAAATGAATAGTTGTCGCAATTATGTTTCATCTGTTTTATGAAAAATGTTGTGTATCCGTACATCATGTATTATATTATCGTATAAGGTAACATCAAAAATAGCTCGCAATTTGCCACTATTCGCGCGACGGTCACCCTCCTAGTTTTGCTGGCCGTACTTTACCCTTTTTTACCTATAATAATTATACATATTAATAACAAAATCATGGAACGAAAGGGTCGATTATTTTTCCCATAGCCTTTCGCTAAATATTTTAAAAGTGGAAATACATCATCTTGTCCCATTATTTGTAATAACTTTGGTACAAATATTAATGTGGATATAATATTACTAATAGTAGCTGCAATATAAGCAAAATATATAGAAATCGGCCATAAGGAAATTGTTGTATAGCCCTAAAAACATAAGAAAATAAATGTTAATTTCCATGTTTAACAAGAATACACATTAATTAAATTTCTACCTCGTTGCGCAATCCTTTATCGCAATATCTAAAGGAACAATTTGTAAAAGAACCATCATGTAATTCGGTTTCATTGCCACTAGCTTCTCTCAATTGAACCGATCCATGTATTACTGTTAATAATATATACGACGTTGTAGTAATAAGTATTGATAGTAATGTTCCTTTTGGTATTGAAGTACTAGGAACCTAAATATTTAATATATATTAAGTTTATGCTCTCTTGACGAATTAATATTATTTTGTATAGGTACTTCAAGATCTCCCGATGAATATTTAACTCCAGCGTGAATGCCAGTTAGACATGGAAAAAAAGTTGCGAAAACTGTAAAAAAATGTTGCTGCTCATGGTCTTCAATCCTATAGTCTGAATACCAGTTTTTTTTTAACGTTGCCACTGAAACGTGAATGATAATTGGCAATAAAAATTAATAAATTGCAAAAAAAATTATTACTATTCAATCCAGTGAAGCCTGATGCCTTTTCTAAATTAGTTTTTGGGCCAATGCATGAGCCAATAAGTATGTTAAAAATACCAAAAATAATCGTTATCAGCAGAGCATATTGTATCTAAAATAATTAGATTATAACATCTTTAATAATTTATTAAATAATTTTATACTGACTCTAGTTTCATTATCCATGGCTATATAACAAAGTATACTCATAAATATTATTAATACTATTCGGAATAATGTGATGTAATCTATTAGTATCGTAGATATTGTGTCATCAATTGCATTAAAATTGTAAATTAAAACAGATACAAGAAGCCATGAATTGAAAATCGCAGAAACAGTGTTAGCAATTGATAATAGTATACCAATTGCCGCTCCTAGTTCCGGACCAACTGATTGGGAAACAATGGAATATAGACCTCCTGTATAAATTAAATAATAATAAATTAATAAAGCTATTTAACTAAAAAGTTTATTTTTATTAATAATTGATTAGGTCGATTAAACCAAATTTGACTTTTAACTTAGGAAATTAAAAATAATTCTTTAAATTAGTCGATCATTACATGAAAAATACAATTAAATGAGCAGCTCAGTAATCTATAAACAGATAAAAAGAAACTAAAGTTATGTAAATAGTTACCAACGTTGATAACTTCAATCGTAACTTTCTAACTAGTTAATGACCATGTTTGGCTATTGTGTAAGGTAATATTAGGAAAACAGCTACGACCTAAGGTTACATGCATGTTTGTTGGAATACTTTCAAACCTTTTTAAAGATATTTTCGTGGTTAAAATGTTTTGGAATAGATTTCGAATATAATAATTACTAAATAAGTCTGAACTTGCATCCAAATAAGCATAATACTATTCAATTTCTGAATTTTGAATGTATTTTTTTGTTTTTGATAAATAAAAATAAGTCTAAAAAATATATTAAAATTGAAATAATATACATTTTTATTTTTCAAGTATGTTGATATTATTTTTTTTATAAATAGAATTTTTTATTTGTATAAATTATTACTATAGAGCAAAAGTAGGCATACACTAGTTAAAAAGTTAATGTTAAATTTAAAATGTAATTATTTTTTTTAACTTAACTAGTTTTATTGACTCTTGAAAGTTGAAATAACTTAACGTTTCTCAGTTGATTTAAGTTAATAATATTAATAATACATTTTTCATTTGTGGGTTAATAATAGAAAACCCTAGCAAAAATTTAATAACTAACTTTATTGTCAAAGTAAAAAGAATATTTATTTTTTTTAACTAATAATATATTTTTTTTATTTGAAATAATGATATTTACAATCTGTTTTTAACATCACAATAAGTAAATTGGATAATTTATGTACATGTTTAACTGGAATGATGAGGGAGGCCAATCAGTGATGGAATCCAACATGAATTTATTTTAGATTAACAAATCTCTGCAATATTTTCTTTTGAGCCTATGGATGAGATTTATGGGTTGAGTAGATGAGATTTGTGATACTATCGGGTTAGTATGGGAAGGTAGTTTGAAGTAGAAGGATCTTTAGTGTTTGGTTGCTAATTGGTCAACTGACTCAATTTTTAGGTCAGAGTGTAGTAACTAGTGAAGAGTTGGAAACAAACCAAGGAGCAGACTTTATCATGCGGGGGATAATGGACTGGAATGCTTGTATCGTGCGAATTTGGGACGGCTTAGCACAGCCCCAAATTTGGATTACATATGCCCATATTGGACGCAAGAGAGATTTATACATTATAAGTTTGGTGTGCACTGGTAGTTTTGACTTTAAAATTGGACGAAGTAGGTGAAGGTGGCTATTGAGTGTTTTTCTTTTTTGTTTAAGGTGTGGGCCCCAGGTTAATCTTTTGTCAATGGTTATTCCGAGATATTTGACATTTGGAGATGATGGTATTTGAGTACCTTGAAAGTGCACAGGTGAGGGTTCTGTTCTTTTTAAAGTAAATGGTACATAAACATATTTGTCTGGATTTATTTTTGTTCGCCACTTGTGTGCCCAGTGGTCAATGGAGTCTAAGTGTGTTTGTAAACAGTTGGATGTTTCGTCAGGATCATTATTAGCACAAAGTATTGCGGTGTCGTCTGCGTAAGTAGCCAAGGTGGTGTTTGTTGTAACTGGTATGTCGGCCGTATAAATATTAAATAGGTCAGGAGAGAGGTCGCTGCCTTGGGGCACGCCGGCTTTAATGGAAAAGTGTGGTGAATATGAGCTTCCATATCGGATTTTGTATGAGCGGTTTTCGAGATATGAGCGAATTATTAGATAAATGGCGCAGGTAGAAAAAGTTTGAGTTTGTATAGTAGGCTATCATGCCACACACGGTCAAAAGCCTGCACTACGTCCAGGAAAACGCCAGGACAAAATTGCTTGATTTTGAAGGATGATGATATTTTGTCTGTCAACCTATGAATTTGGTGGACAGTGAAATGTTTTGCTCTAAAGCCAAATTGAGAGTTTGGGATAATTTTATGAGTTTGCATAATAGGTCTGATTCTTTTGATTATTATTTTTTCGAACAGTTTTGCTAGAGTTAAAAGTAAGCTTATCGGCTTGTAGGAGGTGGCTAGAGTCTTTGGTTTATTTGGTTTTGGTATAAGTATTACAGTTGACAACTTCCATATTAGCGGAAAATATGATAGTCTTAGCATAGCGTTGAAGATAAATGTAATTAGTAGAATGGGTTTGCGAGGAAGATTTTTCAGAACTTTATTAGTAATTAGGTAGTGGCCAGGTGATTTCCCATATTTAATTTTTTAATTAAACATAATATTTCGCTTGGCGAGATATGTTTTGCACGTAATGATATAGGAAAAGGGTTATTGATAAATTGTTCGATGGTTTCAGAGTGATCAGAGTTTGGTATTATATCGGCGTGAGGTGTGAACATTTTTGATAAGTGTTTACCGAACAGATTTGCTTTTTCGATATCGGAGATGGCCAAGGAGCYGTCTGAGTCTGTTATGGGAGGGAGTTGTTCCTTTATTCTAAGTAAATTTTTAGTTGTTTTCCAAAAAGAAGCGTCTGTTTGGTTTAGTGATTGGTATTTATTTTCAAAATATTCGGATTTATGTTTTAATATTAATTATTTTTATAGTGTTCGCTAAGTGGTTATACAATTTTTTATCAGATGGATAGTGATATTTTTGCCACCTAGAGCGCACAAACCGTTTTTCAGAAATCATATTTACAATATTTATAGGTAAAAATAACATATAACATCAATCGCGTATGGGTGAACCTTCACGGAACATCCTATATATAACATAATGAGCCATGCGTTAGGAAGCGTTACCGAACATTCTAAAATTTCAAACATCCTGTCATCTTCTATAGCTCATCGCGAAACGTTTATACTACGTAAATATTAATATAAAATAAAAATAATCCAATACTATAGTTGATAGTGTAGATACCTAACATCCAAATGTATTGATATATTTTATTAGATCAGATAAGCACATTCATTCTTTATGTGATATACCTACTAATTAAAAAAATAGATTAAATTTTTTTTTAAATGAGATTAGTTAATATTTTATTCGATATTAACTTTTAACTTATCAAGTTAAATTTATAATTTGTTAACTGTAAACTTTAAACTTATCGATCACGAATTCTTTTAACTTAACTAAACTTGAGTTAGTTATTTTAAATTATTTGTTCACCTTTTGTATATAGGGATATCATGATAATATTAATTAGATTTATGATATTTTTAATTGTTATTGCATAATACCTCCTTCTATTTTTCCATTTGTGCTGATCGCAGACAATGAAAAATTGGTGAATAGAATAATAAGCATTGAAAGAAAAATAATAATGATTGAGATCAATATTCCAGCTTGCCCTAAAATAAACGGCATGTTATAGAACATCATCACGCTCCAGGTACTTAGAAGACATGGAATTGTCACGCCTTTGATCCATCCCAGTTTTATTCCTGGGCTCAATTCTACTTTGTTTTCTTCTCCACGATGATATAATTCACTGAACGATTGAATCTTTTAAATTTAATAAATCATGTAAAATATTAAAATTAAATATTATACAAGATAAAATTGTATAAAACATTTTATTATTTTAATTTTAAGACGACGCTGGTGCGTAACATACCAAATTTAAGCTAAGTAGATCATGTGTGTAGCTTCATTAGTATTATTGTTGGAGCCGGGAAAATTAAATTAATATTATCTTATAGTAGGTAGACCGGCATAATAATAAGCGAGCAATAAGACGTCGTTCAGGCGACTTCGTCGCATATTATTTTATATAGTATTAGTAGCGTCATAGCTATCCAGTAGAACACACCGTTTCAACGCGTTACATTGCTGCTATTTATTATATTAAATAAAATCACCGATAATACACCAAAGTACGGATTTATAATATTAAATATCCCCTTTGGCGCTCATCAATTATAATCAGAGTAAATAGACCTCTCATGAAATTATTGAAATTTGATGGTAAAAAACATTACCTGTGTTTTTGTAAGATTTTTTTACAATAATTCAGTTTTTAAGTATATTTTGAGCACTTTTAATTTTTACTATATAATAATTCGCAAAACATGCTACAAAATTTAACTACCGTAAAAAACCCACATACATCCTTCATGGTAAATCTTTCTAAATAAGACGTGTTTAAGATATTCACAAACAAACACTCGAGATTTATCAAGTAATCAAATTACAAAYATTTACTAATTTTTTCTTTCATTAAAATGGTCGAGGTAAATAGTAACACTTATAAYAAGATAAKTTGYGTATACCTRCSAAAATCAATAATCTTAAATACATCTATTATATAGTTTTTTAATTAATAATGCAAATACCTGATCAATCCACGGAATACTTTTTTTTTTAATTTCTTCGTGGTCTGACATGACTTTAAGCTCTCAAAATTATAACTGCTATACAATAGTGAATAGAGTGAAGCTCTATGAAAAGTATAGTAGTTGAGTCATTATTTAAATTATTCAAATAACTTGTGCAAAAACATTGAGAATAATTAWATTATACTGTAAAAGTTCACGCGATCTTCACAATAAATAAAAACAATAGAATATTTGACTAGGTACAGTCCATGTCTCTGSAGGCTATAATAATAAATTTTATGAACAAAACAAAATGGTCATGAATTAATGTATAATTAAATTGTGTAACATAAAATATTATATCATAATATATTTAAGTATAAAACACGAGATAATTAATCACGAAGAACCATAWATAATGGGAGTTGATGGTAGGTATATATACATTGATAGTATATATAATCGTACAATATATAGTATATATATATAATTATAATATATATTATATATACATTAGCTATATAAATTATACATACATGCCTTTTAGAAACACAACACATAGAGTATTCACGTCTTATTATCTTCACCAAGTTCGTTTGGACGCTCTACAAAACGAAACAAATTTTCTATAAGTGGTAGGTACTTACATTGCACATTGAAAAATGAAATCATAAACTCATCGTTTATACCTTAACGTTACGTTTAACCAATACTCACTAATGAATGAGGGGTTAGACAAAAATTGCCCTGTATAAGGATCAAAAAAAAAATCCATACACACTACACACAAATCCTAGTTAACTAAATCCAGCTGATTCTTGTTGATAATTATAATATATTGAATGCTCAGTAATCTGTGATGATAAGGCAATGGCCAATTTTATAAGATTTAATATTTATAAGCTACATCAGGTCATCAATATCTGGGTGTGTTTGATATTGAGTATTATACATCGATTTTGAATGATAGACATTACAAATATTATTGAGTATACTCTTTCTAAAAAACAAAAGTATCTTAAAATTATAATAATATGATTCTTTAGTCCAGGAAACAGAATAAAAAATTAAGGTTTTAGAGTATAGCCAGGGACGGATTGGCAAATTTTTTCGGCCCGGGAAAATTTTTAAGACCGGTCCTCTATAATACGTATAATATCTAATAATTGACTAATATTATAAAAAAAAATAATATCACTAATGTTTTTTTTAAGGCAATAGTTGGTTAAACTCACCCCCCCTCCACCATATATAAATTGTAGTTTTAATCTTTTTTCCCCCTAGTTTTTTCAGCTTCTCCTTTAGCTTTTTTATGGTCCATTATTGTTGAGATAGCAGTTACAATAAAAAATAAGCGGGTAAGTCGTGGATGTCGCTATGATGTACAGTAGGTTACTGTAATGGATGGGATTAAATTTGAATGCAATGATAGGTATCATTGTATACGAAAAACGATTCTGAACGAAGATGATTTGTCAGTCTAGGATATATTATATTTAAATATTGTCATATATATTCTATTTTGAAACAAATATTTTATTTTT